AACAGCCCATTCCCACGAGCATATCTTGAGCCTGTCACTGGTACCCAAATTTCTTAAAGCACTCCATACGTACATTATTCACTGTCCTTTCATTTTTCCTCATTTTACTGATACTGTTTTATATAGTTTTAAAAAATTAACTCTTTTACTGAGCTCCCCACTCCCAAACAAACCTGATCACCTAACTAACCAGCTGTCTCCTCTTCCACATGGGCAATGAAACAAACCTTGAGGAACACACAAGTTTCTGCCTGATCCCATGTCATACAAACTGGAAACCGAAGGCGATCTTCCCTTTCCCCTGCCGGCTAAGGATATTAGGCACCTTCCTAATTGTTAGCCATTTGTATTTCTTCTTTTCAAACTAGTTTTGAACGTTAACTAGTTTATTTATTAATCTAATAATTTGGAGAAGTGGTTGGTGTTTAATTTATATCTCGATTATCAACTTCGTCTGACGCTGGCAAATATTTCTCATTCTGTAGGCTAGCTCTTCATCCTGCTGATTGTTTCATCAGACAAAACTTAATTTCAGATAATCCCGTCTGTCAACTCTTAGTGCTATTCTCTGTGCTAAAGCAGCCCTGTGCAGAAAACCTTTGCTATGCCTGCCCCTTAAAGGTTTCAGAGAATTTCCTCTAATTCAAAGTTTTAAATCTTATATTAAGGTCTATGATCCATTTTGAATTCATTTTCAAGGTGAGAGATGTGGATATAGTTCCATTCTCCAAAATACGGAAATGAAATTTTCCTAGCACAATTGGAGTAAAAGACTATCTTTCCAACAATGTGTATTTTTGACAGCTTTGCCAAGATCTCTGCAGTCAGAACTATGTATTTCTGGGTCTTCCGTCCTGCTCCCTGACCCACGCGTCTGTTCTGTGCTGGTATGTGTTGTCCTGTCACTATAGCCCTGTAACGTAGTTTGAGATCGGGGATTACAAAAGCTCTGGCATTGTTTTTTCTGCTACAGATTGCTTTCAAAATTTGGGGGCATTTTGTGCTTCTATATGAATTTTAGGATTGTTTCTTTTTGGGGGGGGTTGAGACAGGGTTTCTCTGTGTATCAGCCCTAGCTGTCCTGGACTAGTTTTTGTAGACCAGGCTGGCCTTGAACTCACAGAGATCCGCCTGCCTCTGCCTCCCGAGTGCTGGGATTAAAGACGCGCACCACCACCGACTGGCTAGGATAGTTTCTTGTAACTCTGTTACAAGAATCTGCTAAACCTGTTTAATATTACTTATGTGTATATTTTTAAGGCTGACCACTTAGTACTGGATAACCAATTGGGGGCTCATCCTGGGAAAGACTAATATTCCCTTCCTCAGCAGTTAATAGCCTATTATCAACTAGTGTTGACATTGTTCACATCTTGTTTTAACATCCATATTGTTGAGATTTCATGGGAGGGGTTTTCCTGACATTTCTAGAAAAAATCCTGCATATTTGGAAAGCAATTGCTGCAGCAGACTTCCTTTCTGGCTCTGAACATCTTTCTGCTCCCTTCCTCCATGCTCGCTGAGTCTCAGGTGTTGTGCTCTAGATGTATTGATTGAGGTTGCGTACCCGTCAGAATTTTGACCAGTTGAGGCTTTCTGTAATGGTCTTCTGAAAAGAGGCTTCTTTGACACCAGTGAGAGCTACAGCTGACTGTGGTGTAGCTACTCACACTACAGTTAGGACTACACTGGCTTAGGAATTAATACTGATATTCTTGACTTCAGGAGCTGCAGGCATTTGGCTGCGTTCACAGTACCAGGCATGTTTGCCTCTTCTTAAGGAAGTCTTAAGTCCAATTAGACAGCTGTTGGTTTGGTTATTGCCAAGACATAAGTACCACTCTCACACCTGAAGTGGTACTTGCCATTTTCATATTTAGTCTTCTTATCCACAAGCATAAGAGACTTTTAGTATCTTCTTTTTTTTTCCTTCGGAGTGATGAAGTTCTGTTGTAGATGTCTTTTACCTTTCTGGTTAGGTTTATTTCTCAGTTATTTGGGAAATAACTCAGTTTTTGAAGCTATTGTAGATATTACCAACCTCCTACCCCAAGATCCTTTCAATGAATTCACTACCATTGAAAAAGCTACTATTTTTTTCTCTTGATTTTGGATCCTACTACTTTACAGGCGTTTGTAATGGCTAGCTGTGTTACAAACAGAACCGTGTCATCTGCAAACAAGCATAATTTGGTTTCTTCCTTCCCTGTTCGTCCCCTGACATTTTCATGCTCTAAAACTTTAAGCACTATATTGTATGAGAGTATCTTTCTGGGTGAAGTGGCACACACCTTTAAACCCATCAGAAAGCAGAGGCAGAAGGATCTGAGTTTGAAGCTAGCCTCTGTTACATATTGAGTTTCAGGACAGCCAGGGCTATTTACAGAACTGGTGTTAAATCAACCAATCAAACAAAGAAACAACAAAATATGTTGTTCTGGATTCTAGGGAAACGCTGTGGTTTCCTACTTGGTGTAGGGCTGGCTACAAAACTATCATGTATAGAGCATTTGTTTATGCTGAGCTCCTTCATCTAGTTTCTTCAAGACTTTTTAAATTTTGTGTGGATGAGTGGTTTGCCTGCATGTATGTACACTGTGTGCGTGCCTAGCCTCTATGAAGTTCAGAAGAGGGCATCAAATTCTCTAGAACTAGAGTTAGAGATGATTGTGAACCAACATGTGGATGCTGGGACCCAGACCCATGTCCTCTACAAAACCAGGAAGAACTCATAAATGCTCAGCCATTTCTCCGTCCTCATCCCTACTTTTGTCATCAAGGAATGCTGAGTTTTGTCAGTGGACTTTTCTTTATTGACTGCCATGTGGTTTCTGCCCCAACGTTAGTTTTGAGTCAACCAGGTATCCTTTTAGGGTATTGGTGAAATTGGTTAAGTGTGTGTGTGTGTGTGTGTGTGTGTGTGTGTGTGTGTGTGTGAGAGAGAGAGAGAGAGAGAGAGAGAGAGAGAGAGAGAGAGAGAGAG